CTGTCTCTCTCTCTCCTCGTCTCTCTCTATTTCGCTATCTATGTCTCTCTATCTGTCTCTCTCTCTCCCTGTCTCTCTCTACTCATCTCTATCCATTCTTCTCTATGTATATATGTGTGTGTGTGTGTGTTGTGTGTGTGTGTGTGTGTGTGTGTGTGTGTGTGTGCTCGGGCTGGTTTCGGGCTGGGTTTCTGTGTCTCGTAGACGGCCACTGGGCTCACAGGGAGGGGGGGGGGAGGAGCTCCAACAAGCCGTTTAGGACAGAGATTGAATACACATACTATACAGAGATGCTGTATGAGAAACCAATGTGAGTTTGGAAAATTGCACAATATAAATCTATTTTAGTATACCTCAACAATGGAATTATGATCAGTAGAAATGGCCATGACATGGGACCTTTAAGAGATGGGTGATGTCATTTGTGTACTTAATTATAACTAAGTACTTTTACTGTACTTACAGTAAGCAGAATTCTAGGGTATCATGAGTATTTTGTGCTGTTTTATACTATCTTTGAGTTTGTTTGTCTGAACAGCTTGTTTCTCTTGTGCATTAAGAACACTTGTGTTAGGGTATGATTTAACAATAAAAAGGTTATATATACAGTATAAAATACCACGTACTGTCGGCCCTCCCATGCCACCCTGGCATGACCTCTTGCCCCCCCTTTGCCACCCCATGTAAAATGTTCTAGAACCGCCACTGCAGCCGCGTAACCAATGTTAGTTGAACAATGCCGACAAACAGCTTTGGTTCGGTCCACCTGTCTTTGTCCGTCATCCTTGTACGTAACTGCGAAACCAAAATGTTCCCAAACCGGAGACTTCAATGATGCTGGAGGATTTTCGAGCTCAACTTTATCTGCGTTCGCCATTTCGACAGTTCCTCAAATTACTGACTACATTTGAACGCATCCCTGTGACCAGCTCTCATAGTATGCCTCTCGTCCAATGAAATGACTTGGTCGCTCTATGACGCGTTGAACCCAATGTGAGCAAATTACACTGAACGCTGCGACGCAGCACCTGAGATTACTTCCAAAAACTTGTTCACGTTCTCAATTTTTTATGTTTAACGTTATATTCGTTCAGTATACTTCGTACACACGTGTTTGGTCAAATAAAGTGACAGACTAGGCCTGTGCAGGTGGTTACAGCTACGCCCACTGTCTGACTGGAGGAATGAGATTTCTGAATCAGTTTCTTTTACTGTCCTTCTTTCTGTAGAGGAAGTAAAGAAACCGTAACTCTGTTGTTTGAGGTGCAATATATGACTCAGCAGCTTTAAAGGTCACCTATCATGCTATTTTTAGGCAATAGCATAGGTCTCAGATATATAAAAAATATAAAAAACATGTCTATGAAGTGTTTTGGTCAAACAACCAAACAGATCACCCAATCTAGCCATGCCTCATATCCCTCTATTTCACTTCCTGTTACAAAAGTGCTGATTCTGGGTACAAACAGGTCTCTCTTGAGAATGAGACCCTGTGTCTGAATGAGATGTTCACCTGTATAAATAAAGGCTAAATAAAAAATGCTTTTTTTTTTTTTAAACTGAAAAAAATAACAAATAAGAGGGGGCGGAGCTCATGCCGGCTCATGCGGGACCTGGCAGATACTGTCTAAAATGCTGCGGTGATGAAACGCAAGGATTATTAGAACAAGGATTATTTCTGTATGGAGCTCAAAGGCCTTCTCTCTCGCCGGTTATACCACAATGTGAGTTCCTTTTTATAAAGAGAGAGTGAATAAAGAGGGAACAGACCTGCTCTGAGGATCTGAAGCTGAGGCTGTAAAACAGCGTCCAGTAGTTTCCGGTGTCTCTCGTTCTCCTGTTTTGAACGAGACAGTTCCTCCTCGTACTCTGCTATCGTTCTTTCAAACAGAACAAAGATGTCTTCAGCAGCCGCAGTGAGTCGCTGCTTCACCAACGAGAGCAGCACAACACTCATGTTTACTAAATCACCACTTCCTGTTAGACACACTGTTTCTCTGTGTGCTTCAGTCTCTGTTAAACACACTGTTTCTCCGTGTGTGCTTCAGTCTCTGTTAAACACACCGTTTCTCCGTGTGCTTCAGTCTCTGTTAAACACACCGTTTCTCCGTGTGCTTCAGTCTCTGTTAAACACACTGTTTCTCTGTGTGTGCTTCAGTCTCTGTTAAACACACGTTCTCCGTGTGCTTCAGTCTCTGTTAAACACACCTTTCTCCGTGTGCTTCAGTCTCTGTTAAACACACCGTTTCTCTGTGTGCTTCAGTCTCTGTTAAACACACCGTTTCTCCGTGTGTGCTTCAGTCTCTGTTAAACACACCGTTTCTCCGTGTGTGCTTCAGTCTCTGTTAAACACACCGTTTCTCCGTGTGTGCTTCAGTCTCTGTTAAACACACTGTTTCTCCGTGTGCTTCAGTCTCTGTTAAACACACCGTTTCTCCGTGTGCTTCAGTCTCTGTTAAACACACCGTTTCTCCGTGTGCTTCAGTCTCTGTTAAACACACCGTTTCTCCGTGTGCTTCAGTCTCTGTTAAACACACCGTCTCTCTGTGTGTGCTTCAGTCTCTGTTAAACACACCGTTTCTCCGTGTGCTTCAGTCTCTGTTAAACACACCGTTTCTCCGTGTGCTTCAGTCTCTGTTAAACACACCGTTTCTCCGTGTGCTTCAGTCTCTGTTAAACACACCGTTTCTCCGTGTGCTTCAGTCTCTGTTAAACACACCGTCTCTCCGTGTGCTTCAGTCTCTGTTAAACACACCTCTCCGTGTGCTTCAGTCTCTGTTAAACACACCGTTTCTCCGTGTGCTTCAGTCTCTGTTAAACACACCGTTTCTCCGTGTGCTTCAGTCTCTGTTTAACACACCGTTTCTCCGTGTGCTTCAGTCTCTGTTAGACACACTGTTTCTCTCTGAAGCTTCCTGAGCTGCTGTTCAGCTGGACGGCAGGAAGCAGAGGTTTGGGAGGATGATGTCCCTGATGCTGTTTAGATTTCTCCAGCACCACGGGGGGTCCTGTGTGGATGGCAGCTCCTTCCTCAGCAGATCCAGTTCTCCAGAATTGTCCTAATAAAAGAGAAAACAAGAGAAAAATAACAAATGTATTAATCTTATTAACAAAAGATGATTGCAAAATGATGACCATCCCTAAAGGATTATTTAAAATTCCGTACTGTTTAGGTTTTAAAAATTTCTATATCTATACAAAACATGTCTCTGAAGTGTTTTACTTAGTTAAGAACTATCGGAACTATACTGGGAAAAGTACTCCGGTGTGAAAGTGCCTATTGATGTGTTTTGCTCAAAATACAAATAGATCATGCATTTTAGACATCCCTCATATCCCTCTATTCCAGCCCTGTTATGCGGCTTTCACACCAGCGCTTTTCCCGTTCTAGCTCCGTGCTAGAGCTTTTCTGGTTCACACCGCCCAGAGCCCGACTGGTGCTGCCGCTGATGACGTCACCGTTTACATCGCTGATTTGCTCCCCAACGGCGTTACGGCGCTCACTACAACAACAACAACAACAACAACAACGGGGGGGGACTGCGTCGGGTCGATGATCGTGTTGCTTTTAATCATACGAAGCCAGATTAAATTAAATAACGACTTCTCCAACCTTATACTTTTCTCCAGAGTGCACTCATTGTTTATTAATGTGTTTCAGCGGCATTTACCGACCGCTGCAGTGCTGGCTGCTCTTCAACGGGAGTGTATTCTCCCGTTAGCTCCGGGTTAGCTCACACGGCTCTAAAGTATTCTCTGTCTGACTGTCACACAAGCAGCTGATACATATCCCCAGTTCCCCTTAAGTAAATGTGTGTCAGTCTGAATTGACGCTGTTTGGCATCACAACGCTCATATGAAAGTTTCTCTGGTATAACATGGGTGATGTTAGCATAGCAACCGAAGCTAAACTGACTACTTGCTAAGCCGTTTTCTACAGGCACATTTTACCGGCGTATTTTTCATTATGATTCTACTTGTGATAGTCGGACATGACAACCTGTATGTAACCATGTATTGATTCCATCCGATAGCTGCTATAATAACAAACAAAACGTCTGCCTGCTCTCCACAATGATCAATAACAGCGAACGGATGGTCAAAGTAAGGTACAAATAAACAGAATCACACGAAGCCTGGTTAGTGTTGCCTGACTTTATAAAGTGTGGTTTTTTTATAAGTGTGTGGTTGCCTTCTAGTCACTTTGCTCAGCGCTACTGCTTGTAGGCAGGCATGACGAGACTTTTCAGTCGACCCATGTTCAGGGGAGGTGGGTTTAGTTTCCTGCACGCCTCGACGTAAGCGGCGCCTTCTCTTAGCTCCGGAGCTCTTGCTTCTAGACCGACAATTTTTTGGAGCTGGAAACGAACCGGATTCCGGAGCTAAGATGCGGCGCCGCTGCGGTGTGAATTTAAAAGTATTAACAGTTGCAGCCGACCTGCAGGATTCAGGGAGTTTGTTCCAGATGGTTGGGGCATAACAACTATACACTGCTTCTCCATGTTTAGTTCTGACTCTTGTACAGAGAGCAGACCCGACCCAGAAGACCTGAGACTGCTGGATGGTTCATACTTTTGCAGGAGATCGTTAATATAATTTGGTCCTAAACTATTTAGTGTTTTAAAAACCAGCAATAGTATTTTAAAATCAATTATTTGGCAGACAGGAAGCCAGTGTAAAGACTTCAGTACTGGACTGATGTGATCCACTCTGTTAGTGTTTGTGAGGACTCGAGCAGCAGCGTTCTGAATCAGCTGCAGCTTTCTAATGGATTTTTTAGTGAGACCTGTGAAGACACTATTGCAGTATTCGAGTCTACTGAAGATGAAAGCATGGACAAGCTTTTCTGCTTTCTGCTGTGAAATTAGTCTTTTAATCCTAGATATGTTCTTCAGCTGATAGTATTCAGACTTAATGACTGTTGTAATGTGACTGTTGAAATTCAGGTCTGAGTCCATCACTACACCTAGATTTCTAGCTTTATTCGTTGTTTTGTAGTCTGCCGACTGAAGCTCTGCGATAACTTTCAATCTTTCCTTCTTTGCTGCATAGATATAATAACTTAGGTCATTGTTTTTCATAATTTGAGCCAGTGGTAGCATATAGATATTAAAAAGCAGAGGTCCTAAGATGGAGCCTTGAGGAACCCCGCATGTCATATTTGTCAACGCTGATGTGTAGTTGCCTATTGAGACAACGTTTTTTCTGTCCTTTAAGTAGGAACCAAACCAAATTAGAACTGTTGCCGAAACTCCCACCCAGTTTTCCAGTCGGTCTAGCAATATGTTGTGGTCAACAGTATCAAACGTAGCGCTGAGATCTAATAAAACTAACACTGATATTCTGCCACTGTCTGTGTTTAAGTGGATGTCATTTAAGACTCTAACAAGAGCAGTCTCAGTGCTGTGGTTTGGTCGAAAGCCTGACTGCAACACATCAAAACCGTCATGTAAAAGCATGAAATGTTGAAAAACAACTTTTTCAATCATTTTGCCTAAAAATGGAAGGTTTGATATTGGCCTATAATTATTAATTACGGATGCGTCCAGATTATGCTTTTTTAAGAGCAGTTTAATGACTGCAGTTTTCAGGGCCTGTGGAAAAACACCTGAGTGAAGACACTTGTTTACTATGTGAAGTAGATCTGAGGCCATGGAATAATATCAAGGCAGCAGGAGGAGGATTTCAGAAGTTGAATAATGTCCTCTAGGTTTTTATCATTAATCTGATGGAATTGTGTCATGGTGTTTGAATTGATTTTAATTAGACACAGAGACAAAACATTTGCTGTACCTGATGCAGAGGCACTGACTGCTTGTCTGATTTTCTGAATTGTGTCAGTGAAGGAGGCAAAGTCATTGCAGGCCCTGGTGGATAGAAATTCAGAGGCTACTGACACTGGGGGGTTTGTTAGTGTGTCGACGGTAGCAAATAAGGCACGTGCGTTGTTTTTGGTAATGATGTCAGAGAGGAAAGACTGTCGGGCAATTTTGATTTCCTGATTATAGAGTCTTTCTTTATAGAGGTTTTTCTCCACCTGCGTTCAGCTTTTCTACACTCTGTTTTTGCTGTTCTCACGGTCATGGCTTTTCTACATGGAGATATTTTCTTGCCAGATACTTCCTTTATTTTAATGGGAGCAATGGTATCCATGACATTTGTTATTTTAGAATTAAAATGGTCAACTAGCTCATTTACTGAGACGTTAGCAGGGGCAATTGAGGAAGAAAAATTCTGAACAAACATTTCCTCTGCATTTTCAGATAAGTAACGTCTAGTGGTTACCTCTTTCTTAAAAACTGTATGGACGGAAATAGAGCTCTCAAAGAAAACACAGGAATGATCAGAGAGTGCAACATCAGTCACCACAACCTCAGAGATATTCAGACCCTTTGAGATAATGAAGTCCAGAGTGTGCCCCTTATTGTGCGTGGGCTCCGTCACATGCTGAGTCAGTTCATAGTTATCAAGAACACAACACAGTTATTTAGCCCCTCTGTCCTGGGGGTTGTCAACATGGATATTAAAATCACCAACAATGACTAAACGGTCAAAGTCAATACACAGTATAGACAGTAACTCTGTAAAATCATCTAAAAAGCTTGCACAGTATTTGGGTGGTCTGTAGATGTTTAGGAACAGAGCTCGAGAGGAGCATTTCAGCTGAAGGGCCACATATTCAAAAGAAGCAAAGTTTCCATACGTAGTCTGCTTGCATTGAAATAAATCATTAAACAAAATAGCTACTCCACCCCCTTTCTTATGCAGTCTTGCCTGACTCATAAAACTAAAGTTGGGAGGGGTTGATTCAATAAGAACAGCTGTGCTGTTGTTTTGGTCTAACCAAGTTTCAGTTAAAAACATAAAATCCAGATTGTGCTTGGTGATAAAATCATTGATTAAAAAGATTTTACCTGCTAAAGACCTGACATTTAATAAAGCCAGTTGAAGTGTGTTAGATATACTATCACTCTGATTGTTTGTGATAAACCGTGGAGTAAGTGGAACTACTGTTACATTTGATGAATTCAAACAGATGGTTTTGGACGTTCTGTTTT